TATTTTGTCTTAAAATAGTACACTAAATAGGAAGAAAACAAGACAACATTGGAGGGACAAAAATCCGTGGGAGAGATCATGCAATTCTGAGGTAATCCACTTATTGTTATCAACGAACTGTTCTTGGCCGCTCGTTCTAAAGGAAACGGCTAACTACTAATAACTTAAAGACTATTATCATTTCCTCTTCTATCTCAAGAGAACGTTCTATCTATTTTCTCGGGGGGTTTCTCTCTAAGACACCTTGCATCGAAGGTAATTGCTCATTGAAACGCGTTGAACTTTTGATGTTTAACAATGCTCTATCAAATTTCATATCAAGAAGTCTCGGTTTTTGTCGAATTCAGTTTCTTTTACCGTGTCGTTTGCCCATTTCATGCTAGCAACCGGCAATATAAAATCTTCATTCTAAGTTCTAAGGGTGAAATGTCAAATTGCACAACATGTTTTCAAACGCAATTTCGATCGTTTCTTAATAGCTGGCCATAGTAGCATCATTATCATCATTGTCATCATTATCATTATTATAATTACTCAACAACAATGGCTTTTGTAACTCATAATGTGACTCAGCCAATGAGGATGGAGAATATCACAGAGTCAAGATTTACAGATTTACACGCTGAAAAAGAATGAAATAAAATTTTCTTCTCAAGCTGGTCCAAGAAGCCGAGAGCCGATCAAATGGTGCATATCGCTTTTTTTACGTGTGAGGAACCACGTATCGTGCTTTTTAACCCGTAAAGCGTGTTATTCTTATTAATCCTTCAGAAAACAGCGAGTCGGTTTGTACCAGAAATCTCATTGGTTCGCTGCGCACACCTGTTCGATTTCCGATACTACCAACTCGTGCGTAAAATACCATACGGACAGACTTTCCATGAAGTATTCTCTATCGATTGAATTGTCATAACAGCTCTTGATTCTAGTTCCGTCTATGATATCCACAATTTTTCCATGGAAATTTAACAGTGTCAGCTTGAGAAAATGTTGTAAGTCCACTCGAGAAAATGTAGTAAGTCCACTCTCCTCAGGAAGTGATAGAAAACCACCTAATGAAGTTGTTGTAGTACTTTAGAATTTAGACGGACGATCATCTACTTGAAATCACACCCGCTACCGCAGAGCTGGAAAAGAAAGAAACTTCGTGTTGCATGACTCACTTGTTGTGTCCTTTTGACACAAGGGTGCAGAAAAAAGAACAAGAGAAGATGGAACATTATCAAGACCTTAATTTAGAAGTTCAGCGGAGGATCTGGGGCGGTTGAAACAGTAACCAGGAAATTTAAAACATAAGGGCTTCAAGCTTGTTCTGAAACTCTTTCGAAACCTCACGAAACTCACAAGGAAACACTTTTTTTTTTCTTTTTTTTTTTTTTTTTTTTTTTTTTTTTTTTTCATTTAAAGCAACCTGTTCGAAGCATTCCTATAAAAGATCGCATTTGACTCGTTTCGTTTCCATGTTTTTTTTTTTTGTTTTGTTTTTTGGAGTGTTTCTAATGCAGTTGAAGTTTTAATGTGACACTAGCATTCTAACGAATTGCCCCTTTTTCAACGCAGGAAAAGCCTCTGCTCAAGTTGTTACAGAGACAAACACAGCACTCACCAAAGGAGATGCCCTCATATTAACCTGCAAAGTCAACAAAGAAACAATAAGTATAAAGTGGAAAAAAGATGGAGACCCAATAACAGAAAGAGCAATTATAGATACCCGATTAGATGAGAAAAAGAGTAAACTGGCTCTTACTAGTGTTGTGGAAGAGGACAGTGGTGAATATTCTTGTGAAGCACGTAACAAGCCAGGAACTGTGGCTCGCTCTGTTGTGACAGTAAATGTCAAAGGTAAGTTGTTTAAGCAACCACGTATAATTTCAGTAATTAACTATGTAAGGTCATTATTATAAAATACACGTCCGCCTTTTATTTTCCTCACAAACTTTTCCAGTGGTTTTTTGGTCTTCTGGGAACTAGAAATTTGAAATTAATTAAATTTGGAAGAGATTTTAAAGAAACCGTTTCAAAACGAATTTGAAACAGTAGCAGTATGTTATACATATTCTATAATTCTTTCACCAATCTTCTCTTTCTATCTGCCTGTTTTTTGTAAATTAACACATCTGCGTCTGTTTTTCCAAAGGTTATTCCCGGCCACCCAACGCGAGCAATGAACAACGTAAATTGTTGGAACAAAAAAAAATTAGCTCTCTATCTGGATAGTTGGTGATATTAATTTTTATTTTTAATGCCGACCAGCAAATTACTTTCCTACTAAGCTTCTTCTATTATTATATTTCAGGAAATTCAGAGGCTCCCTCCAGCAGCTCACCTCCCTCCAACAGCTCACTGGAGTGGTACTACATTGGGGGACCTTTGGCTGCTGTCGTTTTTCTACTGGCGCTCATTTCATACATTAAAAAACGCCGTGAGACAGGTAAAATGTTACCATACGAAAATAAAATGTCTTCATATGGCAGATTGTGGCTTTTAATACGTCAGTGTTTTGGAGCACGAAGGAGCTATTTTAAGCAGGTCATATTCTGCATTTCCAGCACTGATTTTGAAGGTCCCTCTACAGTCCCGGCAAAGCCCATTACTAATCAAATTACAAAAACGTTACAAATTATATGAAACTAATCACCATGATAACCCACCTTATTCCTTCTCCCGTTGTTTGACAACAGAGTCAAATATAAGTTACACGTGGTTTCTGAGTCGCAAGCTTTAACTTAGTTAATGATGTCATTCTTACTCACAACGAAGCGATTTCTTTCATCTCTTTCCACATATCCTTTGATAATAGCCCCACCTGAGGTGCCACCCAGGCTGCAGTAAGTGAATTGTCTTTTTTTTTTTTTTTTTGACGCTCACTGTTTGAACGTGTGGTTATTTCCGAAGTTTCTAACTCTTGAATAAGTTTTAGTAGAGTAGTGATAAGTGTCACTGCTGAGCAAATACGTCTTTTTTTATCAGTTTGGACCGATTATATTCACCATTAAGAGCACACTGGCCAAAATAAAAGGTTTTTCTTTCGAAGCAGCTGCAGTTTCGAAGAGGTTCTTATCAAATGGCAGTCAAATGTTTCCTAATATTCTTTCTGTTTTGGATTCGTTCGTCCTTCAATTGTTTTAACACCTTGTTTATCTTTTTTTTTGTTACCAGTATGCATGGTTGTGGGTGGCGTACTTTTAAAGAAGAAGAGAAGCTTTGACCCTTCGTCACTCTTTGTTACAGAAACTACAGTTGAAATACACTCGGAGTCTTGTAGACCGATTTAAAATACCACTCGATATATCGATTGTAGACAATACTTCGGATGGTTTGGTTAGTATTTTATTTCTCGCGTAGGAGGCACGATATTTATATGATGTAAAATGCCGAAAAACACAGTCAGGTTAGGTTATTTTGAGGTTATCTTCTATCTTTATTCAATTTTTTTTTTCAATAAAATCTCCTCTCTGGGTCGATGCGTCGAAAAAACGGGTTCAGTAAATTAGCATCCAAATTTCACCTATTTCAATAATTTTTCATTGGCAAGTGATAATTTTCTGAAGCACCCGGAAATGAAATGAAAAGAAAAAAATTTAAATTGAAGATATAGAGGATATCTTTACCACGTTATGTTAAACCAGATTCAAAGAAGGAAAAGATAGATAGGTAACACAGATAGTTAAAGTCTTGTTTTCATCTGCAATTATTCAGTGAAGGGGAAGATGAAGTTGAGATGGATCAGCTGAACGCAAACACAGACGGATGGGAGATTGCAGCTGACCGCCTGAACCTTCGTGAGCATATTGGCAAAGGGGCATTTGGTTCAGTGTGGCGAGCGCTACTGGGTCGTTCCCGTGGCAGACCTGGAAATCGCACAGTTGCTGCGAAATGCTACCTACGTAAGTACTTTTTCAGATCTTTCTTTCATACAAAGCTTGATTGAACTATCCTTTATTAATTTTTTGAGTAATTTATCTCAATAAAGAGCATTTCTCTTAGAACATGCTTTATTAACCTACCTAATACATAACATGGATAGCTTAAAAACTATGCGCTGTTCAAATGATTTATCAGCTGGCATGTCAAATTAATTGTTAGCGGATGGTTCCCGGGGGGACCAGTTGTTAAATCTTTTGTCATACAACGCTACTAAAATAGAACAGAACACGAATATCATTTGGAGTATAAGAAGCTGTGGAGAAAAATGAAAATTTATCGATTAAATTGCATTCAAGTGTATAAAAGCGGAAAATACTACAATACTAAAAATGTCACTCTGTCGTATATTTTGCAAAGTTGCCCGCTTAGAAACTTTTAGTGGGAAATAATGTCATGAGACCTCAAAGAAACCTTGAGAGGGTGAGTCTAGCGGAAAAAACTCGGAGCCATTTGCCAGTCTAGTGGTGGTAGTATGATCTTCTTGCGCTGGACAAGCTGAAAATCACAATGCAGTAGAACCTGTATTAAGCGGTCACCTTGTAATAAGCGGTCAGTTTTGAAAGTCCCGAAACTTTCCTCCTTTACTTATAGTACTTTTTATATCAAGCGGTTGTGGTCACCTTTTACTAAGTCCCAACAGCCTATTTGTAATGTTCCCCACCTTTATCGAACGGTCACTAAAGCGGAAGTACTCAAATAAAATTAAGAATAATCTTTCAAGTAAAATTTAATCCATGTTTATCTCCCGAAATCAATGTTAGGAATATTTTTGAGCGAGGTTGTGTATGTTAAGTGGTCCGTGATGGCATAGAGTGGCATTTTTTAAACTTTTATCAATAGTAGCCCTATTCCGTGGAACCTATATTAAACGGTCAACCATCCCCGCGCGTGACCGCTAAATACAGGTTCGACTGTAACAAACTTACAGAGTCAAATGAATTTATAATAACTCTGGGAATGCTTACGAATTATTGTAGCTTTTAGTAAGATAAAAGCAAGGATTATCTAATTTATGACCTGTAGGAAACAAGAAGGCGCAAACAGAGCATGTATTTAAAAAAAAAATATATGTCTCAAATATATATCTTCCTTCCTTTCTCTCCGGAGATTGCTGGGAAACCACACAAAAATTAGATAAACAAACAAACTTTGCATGTCAAGAGAGACACAATTATGTGGTAAACATTTTTGTATACTAAGTGCTATATTACCAGCGCAACTTCTAATAAATTTGGTCTACATAAAAAAAAGTTAGTTTTCTAAACCCCATATAATCCATACTTGCCACAAAAATGTCAGTTAGCCGTCTTGTTCAGTTGTATTGAACATGAAATTTCAAAAGTAGATTCATCCTTGTTGAAAAAATTATTTGCTAAGAAAACGCTGCACATCTCGAGCATTGTTGTTAACTAGGCAAGCTCATTGAACCGCGCAATTGTTTACAGACAACTTACAAAAGTAGAGACGCAATTAAGCCTTGAAATTGCACCTGTTATAATACCTAATAGTCGGTCGAATAGATATTTGAGACAATTTTTATTAAAGATATGCTCTGTTTGCGCCTTCTTGTTTCCTACCGTTCATATGGTACATAATCCTTGCTTTTATCTTACTAAAAACTACAATAATTCGTTAGCATTTCCAGAATTATTCTAAATTCGTTTGACTCTATAAGCTTGTTACAGTCGAACCTGTATTTAGCGGTCACGCACGGGAAATGGTTGACCGTTTAATATAGGTTCCACGGAATAGGGCTACTATTGATAAAAGTTTAAAAACGCCACTCTATGCCATCACGGACCACTTAACATACACAACCTCGCTCAAAAATATTACTAACATTGATTTCGGGAGATAAACCTGGATTCAATTTTACTTGAAAGATTATTCTTAATTTTATTTGAGTACTTCCGCTTTAGTGACCGTTCAATACAGGTAAGGAACATTAAAAATAGGCTGTTGGGACTTAGTAAAGGGTGACCACAACTGCTTGATATAAAAAGCACTATAAGCAAAGGAGGAAAGTTTCGATACTTTGAAAACCGACCGCTTATTACAAGGTGACCGCTTCATACAAGTTCTATTGCATTATGACGTTCAGCTTTTCCAGCGGAAGAAGATCATACTACCACCACTAGACTGGCAAATGGCTCTGAGCTTTTTGCGCCAGACTCACCCTCTCCAGGTTTCTTTGAGGTCACATGACATTATTTCCCATCAAAAGTTTCTAAGCGAGCAATTTTACAAAATACACGACGGAGTGACATTTTCAGTATTATGGTATTTTCCGCTTTTATTCGCTTGAATGCAATTTAACCAATAAATTTTCATTTTTCTCCACAGCTTCTAATACTTCAAATGATATTCGTGTTCTGTTGTATGGTAGTAGCGTTGTATGACAAAAGACTTAACAACTGGTCCCCCGGGGAACCATCCGCTAACAATTTGACATGCCAGCTGGTAAATCATTTTAACAGCGCACAGTTTTTAAGCTATCCATGTTATGTATCAAGTACGTTAATAAAGCATATTCTAAGTGAAATGCCCTTTATTAAGATATATTACTCAAAAAATTAATAAAGGATAGTTTAATCAAGCTTTGTAAGTAAGTACTTACGTAGGAAGCATTTCGCAGCAACCGTGCGATTTCCAGGTCTGCCTCGAGAACGACCCAGTAGCGCTCGCCACACTGAACCGAATGCCCCTCTGCCAATATGCTCGCGAAGGATCAGGCGGTCAACTGCAATCTCCCATCCATCTGTGTTTACGTTCAGCTGATCCATCTCAACTTCATCGTCCCCTTCACTGAATAATTGCAGATGAAAACAAGACTTTAAATATCTGTATTACTTGTCTATCTTTTCCTTCTTTGAATCTGGTTTAACGTAACGTGGTAAAGATATCCTCTATATCTTCACTTTAATTTTTTTCTTTTCGTTTCATTTCCGGGTGCTTCAGAAAATTATCACTTGCCAATGAAAAAATTATTGAAATAGGTGAAATTTAGATACTAATTTACTGAACGCATCGACCCAGAGAGGAGATTTTATTGAATAAACTTAGCGCCGACTGTGTTTTTCGGCATTTTACGTCATATAAATATCGTGCCTCCTACGCGAGAAATGAAATACTAATTAAAACCATCCGAAGTATTGTCCACAATCGATACATCGAGTGGTATTTTAAATCGGTCTACAAGACTCCGAGTGTATTTCAACTGTAGTTTCTGTAACAAAGAGTGACGAAGGGTCAAAGCTTCTCTTCTTCTTTAAAAGTACGCCACCCACAACCTAGCGTACTGGTAACAAAAAAAAAAGGTACTAAACAAGATGTCAAAACAAGTGAAGGACGGACGAATCCAAAACAGACAGGATGTTAGGAAACATTTGATTGCCATTTGATAAGAACGGCTTCGAAAACTGCTGCTGGTTCGAAATAAAAAACCTTTTATTTCGGCCAGTGTGCTCTTAATGGTGAACATAGTCAGTCCGAACAGAAAAAAAAAAGACGTATTTACTCAGCAGTGGCGCTTATCACTACTCTACTGAGACTTATTCAAGAGTTAGAAACTTCGGAAATAACCACACGTTCAGACATTGAGCATTAAAAAGGGAATTCACTTACCGCAGCCTAGGTGGCACCTCAGGTGGGGCTATTGTCAAAGGATATGTGGAAACAGATGAAAGAAATCGCTTCGTTGTGAGTAAGAATGACATCATTAACTAAATTAAAGCTTGCGACTCAGAAACCACGTGTAACTTATATTTGACTCTGTTGTCAAACAACAGGAGAAGGAATAAGGTGGGTTATCATGGTAATTAGTTTCATATAATTTGTAACGTTTTTGTAATTTGATTAGTAATGGCCTTTGCCGGGACTGTAGAGGGACCTTCAAAATCAGCGCTGGAAATGCACAATATGACCTGCTTTAAATAGCTCCTTCGTGCTCCAAAACACTGACGTATTAAAAGCCACAATCTGCCATATGAAGACATTTTATTTTCGTATGGTAACATTTTACCTGTCTCACGCCGTTTTTTAATGTATGAAATGAGCGCCAGTAGAAAAACGACAGCAGCCAAAGGTCCCCCAATGTAGTACCACTCCAGTGAGCTGCTGGGGGGAGCCTCTGAAATATAATAACAGAAGAAGCTTAGTAGGAAAGTAATTTGCTGGTCGGCATTAGAAATAAAAACTAAAACACCAAAGATCCAGATAGAGAGCTAATTTTTTTGGTTTCAACAATTTACTTTGTTCATTGCTTGCGTTGGGTGACGGGGAATAACCCATGGAAAAACGGACGCAGATGTGCTAAGTTACAAAGAACAGGCAGATAGACAGAGAAAGATTGGTGAAAGAATTATAGAATATGTATAACATGCTGCTAATGATTGAAACTCGTTTTGAAACAGTTTTTTTAATTTCTTTCAAATTTAATTCATTTCAAATTTCTAGTTCCCAGAAGACCAAAAAACCACTGGAAAAGTTTGTGAGGAACTTAAAAAGCGGAGGTGCATTTTATAATAATGACCTTACATAGTTAATTACTAAAATTATATGTAGTTCCTTAAACAGCTTACCTTTGACATTTACTATCACAACAGAGCGAGCCACAGTTCCTAGCTTGTTACGTGCTTCACAAGAATATTCACCACTGTCCTCTTCCACAACTTCAGTAAGAGCAAGTTTACTCTTTGTCTCGTCTAATCGTGTTTCTATAACTGCTCTTTCTGTTATTGTTTCTCCATCTTTTTTCCACGTTATGTTTATTGTTTCTTCGTTGACTTTGCAGGTCAATGCCAGGGCATATCCTTTAATGAGTGTTATGTATTTCTCTGAAACAACTTGAGCAGAGGCTTTTCCTGCGTTGAAAAAGGGGCAATTCGTTAGAATGCTAGTGTCACATTAAAACTTCAACTGCATTAGAAACACCCCAAAAACAAACATGGAAACGAAACGAGTCAAATGCGACCTCTATAGGAATGCTTCGAACAGGTTGCTTTAAGTGAAAAAAAAAAAAAAAAGTGTTTCCTTGTGAGTTTCGTGAGGTTTAGAAAGAGTTTCAGAACAAGCTTGAAGCCCTTATGTTTAAAATTTCCTGGTTACTGTTTCAGCAGCCCCAGATCCTCCGCCGAACTGCTAAATTAAGGTCTTTATAATGTTCCATCTTCTCTTGTTCTTTTTTCTGCACCCTTGTGCAAAAAGGACACAACAAGTGAGTCATGCAACACGAAGTTTCTTTCTTTTCCAGCACAGCGGTATCGGGTATGATTTCAAGTAGATCATCGTCCGTCTAAATTGTAAAGTACTACAACAACTTCATGAGGTGGTTTTCTATCACTTCCTGAGGAGAGTGGACTTACTACATTTTCTCGATTGGACTTACAA